AACGATGAGTTGGGCATCCGAGGTGAGGGTGACATGGAGGAGATCATGTGAGGAAGAAATGAGAGCTTGTGGGCAGTCGTGGAGCCAGATTGGGAGGACTGCAGAGAAGAGAGTGAAATGCAGACGTGCTACTGAAGCCCTATGTCCCATTAGGAACCCAATGGACAAATAATAATAAAATAATAAGTATTAGTACTAGCCAAAGCTAAGGGGAGTTAAATTAAGGCATAGCATCAAAATATGACATCTCTTACGGATGGTTTGCTAGTTTTGGGAGTTTTAGGCCTCCTGATGAAACTAAAGGAGATAATCGAAGCCATTATGACCGACTGAGATTTTTCCTGCTTCTTATTCTCTATTCATCTGTTTGACTATTGTATACTGCGTGATATAATAGTCTAATTGCTTTAACATGCTTGACTATCAGTCATTTTTTATCCCTTCTACAACTGAACAGGATGACAGAAAGACACCCAGATCAATGTAGAATGCCGCACAAAGGTAAACTCGTTCAAGTTGCAACACTTCAAAGAAGCATTTAAAGAAGAGATGGAAAAAAGGAGTTCTTTTAAAGAAGACGAAAGTGCATGGAAGTTGGTAAGAAGAGATTGATGAAGACTAGTGGAAACATTCCAAACTTCGAAATATGATCAATTTTAGACCAAATCATTAACAGTCTTTGACTGTTGATTGCTGTTGCTTCAATGACCCCAACTAGACTACCTGCTTCATCCTAGGCTACTCATGCTAACAGTCAGAGGCTTTATTGACTGATACCACGTCTTGGTTTCGACACCCGGAAAATTTTCGTAACTTAATCTTACTTTGGTCAATATTACCTTTTGAAATCTCAGGTGTTTATGCATTTAAAACACATGTTCAAGACAGACTAGTCGACGAAGATGCACAACCTCATCGGTTGACTTGCCTTCCCTGTCTAGTATCTTTCACATTACGCTGACATTACGTATATGAGCAGTGTTGTAAAGGCACCCTTGGTCAAAAACCAGCAATCTCTTGATATATTTTGCTTTTATTGGCCATGTCTCATAATCGAATATCTCACTGGCGCGAGATGGCATAAGTAGCCAAATGCTAAACGAGCCTTTTGTCTCCCGGAGGAGATTTCGTCAGCAACTAATTTAACTGCCTTGATGCAACTCTCCAAATAAGTGAAATGGTCAACGCATTCTACCATTTCACTACATATCCTTAAAATGAGAGTAGCTATAGACCAATCCTCGGGCATTATCCTACGCATGATGGGTGGCAAACACATGGTAGCCAAACATACCTAGGTTTCTGCCGAAAGTGTTCAGAAAAATACGCATTCTGCCATCTTCTTCTCCTATTAGGATAATATCTCACACATACTCCAAGTCAGCTGGATGTCCTACAAATAGTTAGTAGAATTCTGTGGAGACGGAGGTACCAATAGCACATCTTTAACATAGTTAAACAGCAACGGTAACAGTGTGAATCCTTATCACACATCACTTGCTACCAAAGACTCCACATCGAAACGCTCCAGAAGCCCATACACAGCTGCATGGGTTCTAGTGGAGGGCTTTGATTATTTTATATCATTCTTTTCATTTAGCTCTTGAGGTCCTAGTGAAACATAGGGCTTCAATAGCACATCACCATTTCACTGTCTCTTCTCTGCAGTCTTCCCAACCTGGCTCCACCACTGCCAACATCCTTCCATTTCTTCCCCACACAACCTCCTCCATGTCACCCTCAGCTGGGACGCCCAACTCGTCGTCTCCCCTTTCAGTTCCACTCAAAACCCGGCCTGGACTGTCGCGTGGTGTCCCCAATCGGTCTACTTACTGTATGTACAATCCAACACATATCCACTTTCTTCTGAATATTTGTGGCCAATGGGTTCTTGGTTGGTTCGTTGCCAGGTCACAGCTCCTCCTTGCTTATTCTTATTATTCTGGCCATCTGATCTCCAGTATCAGATAAGCGTAGACGGTAGCTGTTGATGAATGTCTGCAGTTTGTTGGAAGTGCTTCTCGTAACGCGAAAAGTCTCTCAATCATCACATAGAATCACTGACTTACTTGACTGAATTAGTGTTGGAAATGCGGATCTTGTTCACGCTTTATGCTGAGTGGAGTGGAGTGGAGTGGAGTGAATTGCAGGATCTTCACACTGATTTCAGGTTAATGAAGACCTGTCTTGTTGTCTTTCCTAGCCTGGCTTTGACATCCCCACCTGTGTCACCGCCACCTGTAGTTGAGACGATGCTGCCTTGCCTAGGTAGCTGAAAGAGGCTACCACCTTCAGGTTTCTCCCGTTAATGGTGATTGGTGCTTGTTGCTGTTGTTGTTGGTTGGTCGGTTGGTTGGGTGTCTTCATCACCTCTGTCTTCTCTACATTCACCTGAAGCAAGTCCCGTCTTTATTGTGCTTGCCTCTTTTGCCAACTTGTCATTTTCCGTCTGTAGATCTTCGAGTTTGTGTGACAGGACATGAGACATAAATCATCATCATCATCGGTGGTGAAATCCAAATCTTCTCCTGGGGTCTTTTCATCAGTCCAGCCAGCGTATGCCCATTTCCTCGCTCCTTCCGGTTTGCTGCATGATCCAGTCGACTACAATCAGGAAGGTGATTGGTGATAGTAAGCGGCAACCTTGTCTTACTCCTGTCCACTGTCTTCACTTCCAAGGCGTCACTGAGTTTTCCATTGTGAATCACTTAGTACGTAGCGTCGTCACATAGCATAAGTCTGTTGTTGAATGAGGTTGGTAAGGGTTTGTGTCACCAAAACCGTAGTGGTGAAGCAGCTGCCAGAAAGCTTTGATTAACATTATGTAATTGTTTGGAGTTTTCCTTACAGTCAAACACCACCTATATGTTGGGGGAGTCGAATTCTGCCTTCAGGCCAAGAAACATGGTACGGGTTAGCGGTCGGAAAGTATGTCAACGCTACAGAATTTGTCGAAGAATGAAGATCTAATGACTTTATTCTCACTGAGTTTTGAAAAATCTCTTTTTCTTTTCAGTTAGCTGTTCTTGAACTCCACTAGGTACCGTAAAACTATGAACCCTGGGTCCTTGGAAATGATATAAACCAAACTGGTCCGTTTTAATTATCACATGAAGACTACTACCTTCTTTACTACCTATGTGTCTGAGGAGACTACTTATGACTTCGATTCACTAGTTAGTATCTAAATTCATTGCTCCCACGGGCAGTTTTCCACCTCCATCCTTCAGAACTTTAGGTAGAATAATCTCGAGTTTTTTCTGCTTTGATATGCTCACTAAACAGATCATTAACAGTACAGACGTCTTTTCCAGAATTTGATACTAAAGAAAACGCCAGTTACTCACAGTTCTCAAGGGGTACTCCTGCGAGATCACCAGAAATGACAACATAATATCTGTACTGAATTAAAAATACTTCAGTGAATGAAGTGACTGCCTTTACATATTCATTATTGTCATTAGCATCGACAACTTTGTAATTCTGTTGACTTCAAAATGAAAACATTAGTCTTTTTTCTGCTGCCTTAGTACCAATCACTGTATTGACTGGCATCAGTCAACAAGGCATTGGTGATTTTACCCTCAGCTATCATGTTAATTGCATAAACTGTTTGTTTTTTCTTTCGAATATTAGTGAATTTAAATTATTTAGCATAGTTTAGGTATTCTTCACTATAATCGTCATCTTTCTTTAATGTGCTATTCATCTCAAGGTATCTGTTGAAGTTGACCACACTTTGTCTGATTTAAAATCATGCGTTGAATTTGTTATGTACTTTACCTGACAGTGTCATCGATGTTACTCACCGTGACTTCAGTTTGGGGTCCCTCTTCTGTCCTATAACTGGCGAACTGTAGGGATTACAAAAACACCGGTCACATCTACTACGATTATGCCGAGTTGATGTGTTTGGATCAATCCTACTACCTCTAAAGTCATACCAGCTGATTCAATGAAAATGCCACTGTATTCTATCAGCCCAACTTGCTTAAAAATGTGTTTGACAAAATAAACTGAACATGAATATGGGCTAAAAACCGGCCCAATTTTTCTGCATTTATCTGTACTTCAAATGACACCCTGGAGACAGTCAGAGATAGTATCCACTCTGTTTTTCCATCAAAAGTATTGGTGAAACAAGCTTCCGTAACAGTAATACCTGATACGCATTCTCTAATGTGCTTAATTAAGCCTAATTTATCTGAATGACTGAAGATCGATCTGAAATTTTGCATGGGAATGACAACAGACTAACCAGGATTTTGAATATATTTTGTGTGGAGATCAGGCTTCAAAAGAGATGTATTGGATACCATCTGAAACTGGTGAATAGTTAGTGTCTAGTGATATGCATCACCAACTGACGTTAGTTAAAGAAACATTCAAAAACTAGGAGTATTGGATACCTGTTTGATTAGAGTAATGGACTGTTCAGCCATGTGTGCCTACCACTCCAGGAGGGGTTGAGGCTAAAACAATCAAGTCTCAAGGTGACTGTTTAGCCACTCAGCCACAAACTTGAAATCCACATTTTCTTAAGTTTACGATTGCTTCACTCTAAAGGCATCTCTAAAAACTTTTGAAATAAGTTTGTCTATTTATCAAAAAGTTGCTTTCCTAACCGAAACAAAGAGACCTAATTGGTTATTTCAGTGGTTGCTTGGGTTGCCTTTACAGTCACTCCAAATCTCATGGTTGTTGGTATGAAACTGTAAGGTCTTCCGATAACCTCCAGGAAGTCCACACTCTTGCTGTTAATCTCTCTGCATCTTTAATTCTAGTCTGATAGACTCATTAACACTCACGAAGACACTATGTCCTTCTAAGGCATTAGCTGACTTGCTTTCTTAATCTTACTGAACACACCAATCAATCAGTCCACCCGATTCATCAATTTTCAGTGCTGACTAAGATTAATCAACTAGGTTACTAAGTATGACAGGTAAAGGGATTTGAATTAGTATCTCAATAACGTTTGTGGGTGAAATACAGATAAGTACTGAAAGTCATTATCTTTTCATTACGCAATCAACTTCATATTTTTAAATAATACTGGCTGTACATTCGTCATAATTTTCATCAAGTTAAAAAAGTTAGAGAGCTGCAATCAATAGTGATACAGAAATTGCTATGAAGAACTTAGAATGGAAATAAAAGTGTGTATGTGCGAATGGATGTACTCAGTCTAAATGATTGTGTACTACTGTCACTTATTTTTCCCCTTATGGTATCAATTTTGATTGTTTTGTTTAAATCGAAAGTATCAAGTGAGAAGCAATTGTTTTGAATTTGCTATAAATAAGTTTGTAAGATTAAAAGATAGGTTGAGAAATGAGTATGAATAGAGATAATAACGTCTTTATTAATCAAATTTCACCTTAGTGTCAAAAATTGATTACAACCGATGAAAATATGTGCATTCTACTTTTCATATTTTGCAAACGATGAATGCTATTTATTAACATTTTTCATTATAAGACTGAGTTTGTTTTATCACATTCATTGTACAAGTAGACATTTGAGCAATTACTCATTCTACTTCAGGAGAGAAAAGGGTTCATCAACTGATGAACTGATTAAGTATTTTCTTTTATCCATCAGCTAACTGATCCATCCAGTTTGGACTTTTAAAGAATTCTGGTACTGGTTGATCCATTCTAGCTATTACTTTATAAATTGGTTTTTTCCACGATTGTTCAGAGTCTTTACCAGTATAGAGAGCATTGAAAAACTCGCGTAATGTTGCTTCTACAACAACACGAAAGTGATCCGGTACCTTCATTTCAAAAAGGTGGGGATAAAACCAAAGTTATTAGTAACAGTAATTATTTTTATATACAAGGAAATAAAATTTAACTCAAAGCGGTAACTAAAAAAGGTAAATGGCTGGTTTTTAAGCAACTTTTACAGCTCAGTAATGATGAAAAATAGATCTAGATGGTGGTGATGAACTTTTGTTCCAGTAACCAAAGAGCTGGTAAATCAGTCACTGAAATATAGCTTGCGGTAAGCGAAAGACGGCCGATTTGATAGATCTCCTGAGGGATAGTGTGGATGCCGTTGACACTGACTTCACAATAACTCAGTTTTTCGACAATAGTAGTCTGTTGGACCATGGGTATCTAAAACTGTCTTGATAGCTAGATGGGAAGGAGCAGTATGTAATAAACAGATCACGTAAGAAATCCAGAGAATCTTCGACTAGCTTCTCAACTAATATGCAAATGCATATCCCTAATAATCTCGACAAAACTTCCCATTTATCAGTTATAATAGGTTTCTCTGACTGAATGCAAATTAACAAACACGGGCATTTTGTCAAGTACTCTTGTGACTAGCCTCAAGAAGATGTCCCTTAGATTCTTACGAGATAGACAGTCAGTCAGTTTTTCGCCTTCAACTGTTCCACTTATACGTAGACCTTTGTGTCTCTAAACTGTGTATGATCGGTGTTTAAATTCAGCTGAAACATCCAAACCAAAAGATTCCCCATCCCGAACACAATGAAGGTGAAAGTCAACCTTATTCTTGTTTACATGCGTGTGAAAAAGCCTATTAAGGATCTAGCCGAACTGACGTATAAATGATGTATACAATTAGGTCTTCTTTAGTGTTCACTGTCACACTTGGACTATTTCTGAGCCTATGGTGTGTCTGTGAAACAGTTTAAGGGAGAGTAGATATCCGTGATAAGGTCACAATCATACAATGTTATGCAACTACAAATAATGCAGAGCAAGAGAAAAAGGAGGAATTCTACAGACAAATGCAATCAACACTGGACAAGACGTCAGTTGGCGATATCAAAATTCTAATGGGTGACATGAATGCCAAACTGGGAGGGGACAACACAAGAAGAGAACTAACCATGGGTCGAGAGGCGCTCAGTGAAATGAATGAGAATGCAGAATTGTTTGCAGAATTCTGTGCATTCAACGATTTGATGATTGGAGTCAGGCAGTGTGTTCAGGCACAAAGATATACACAAAGCGACGTGGATTTCACCAGATGGACACACTAAAATTCAAATCGACTTTATCTCAATCTCAAGAAAATGGAGACGCAGTCTACTTAACACAAGGTCAAGAAGAGGAGCAGATGTAGGTTCAGACCACTATCTAGTGCAAGGAACCTGCATTCAAAATCAAGTTGAAAGCCTTCATCTCAAGGAAGTTGGTGATAGACCACACACAGTTCAAGTACAACACTCGGAAGCTGAAGGACGAAACCACAAAGGAAATCTTCACGGCAGCCATCAAGACAAAATGGGAGATATCGAGCAATATCCCTGAAGAAATCTGTGTGGATGAACACTGGAAGTCTTTGAAAGCTATGTGGAAAGAAACCTGCATAACCGTATTAGGAAGGAAGGAAGAAGAAAGAAGACAAGGAATGGATCTTGACGGATACATGAAAGCTGATAGAGGAGGGAGAGGAGGATGGTGAAACAGAAGACAAACCAGTGCAAGGATGAACAACGAGAAGAGGATCTGAGTACATTGTACAAAACACTGCCAAAGAGGTGAAGAAGAGTGCACGGAAAGACAAAAGACACTTCTACGAAACACTGGCAAGTGAAGCAGAACAGGCTGCAGGTAGGAGAGACAGAGACCTGACAACGTTGTATCAAATAACCAGGTTGCTATCAGAGAAGAGATCAACACAGATGAAACCAATAAAAGATGATGAAGGAAATTTAATTAGGAAAGAAGATAAACAGAGGAAACAATGGGCCGACCATTTCAAGAAGCTCTTGAATCGACCACCGCCACCACCTGCACTTCGTCCACAAATACCACCTGCAGCCCAGCCACAGAACTACGAGTGAACACAAACGCTCCAACAAAAATGGAAGTCCTGAGCGCCATAAAGCTACTGAAATATGGGAAAGCAGCAGGACCAGATGGAATCCCGCCAGAAGCACTGAAAACAGATGCAGAGACAACAGCGGACATGCTCACACCACATCACTATTGCAGAAGGTGTGGAAGGAAGCGAAGGTACCTGCCAACTGATTGGGAGAAGGGCTACCTTGTCAAGCTGCCGAAGAAGGGAGACCTCAGTGTTTGCAGGGACTGGTGCGGAATCACTCTCCTATCCACCCAATGCAAGCAAAATATTAAGCCGCATCATCCTGGAGAGACTAAAGGATGCACTGGATTCAAAACTACAACCGGAACAGGCAGGCTTCAGGAAGTACAAATCATGTGCAAACCAAATTGCAACGCTTCGCATCATCATAGAACAGAGCATAGAATGGCAATCAGCTCTCTACCTCAACTTCATCGATTTTGAGAAGGCCTTTGACAGCGTCGACCGAGAAGTAATTTGGAAACTGCTTCAATACTACGGAATACCACAAACCTTTATCCGCCTCATTCAACAACTATATGAAGATGCCACATACCAGGCAAGTAATTCACAACGGGAAGCTCATTAATGCTTTTGAAGTGAAGTGGAGACAGGAGTGAAACAAGGCTGCCTACTATCCCCCATGATATTCCTGATTGTGGTGAACTGGACTGGATCATGCAGCAATCAGTGAGGAGCCAGAAGAGGGGGATACGCTAGACTACGGTAAAGTACCTAGAGGATTTAGATTTCACCGATGACCTGTGTCTGATGTCACATAAACTTGAAGATCTACAGGCGAAAACTAAGAAGTTGACAGAAGAGGCGAGGCAGGGCAGCGAAGATGGGACTTCAAGGGAACGTAGAGAAGACAGAGGTGATGAAGATACCCAACCAACAACAGCATGAGCAACAAGCACCAATCACCATCAAAGGGGGAGAAACTTAAAGAAAGTGGCCTTCTTCACCTATCTAGGCAGAACTGTCTCAATCACAGACGGCACAGACGAGGATGTCAAAGTCAGAATCAGAAAAGCAAGACAGGCGTTCATTAGCCTGAAACCAGTGTGGAGATCTACTTCACTAGATTGCACTCAGCATAAAGCGTAAACAAGATCCGGATTTTCAACACCAACGTCAAGTCAGTGCTTCTGTATGGCTCAGAGACTTGGCGCGTGACGAAAGGGATTTCCAATAAACTACAGACATTCATCAACAACTGCTGTCCACGCTCGTTGCTGAAGATCAGATGGCCAGATTAGCAATAATAAGCAACAAGGTGCTCTGGGAAGGAACCAACCGAGAACCTATCACACAGCAAATATGCAGGAGGAAGTGGAGATGGATAGGGGAAGGAAAGAGAAGGCCGACTGAGGACATCACGTGTCAGGCCCTCTAGTGGGATCCCCATGGGAAGCGACGAGTTGGATGTCTCAGCTGAGGGTGACATGGAGGAGGTCGTGCGAGGAGGAAATGAGAGGTTGTGGGCTGTCGTGGAACCAGGTTGAAAAGATCTCAGAGAACAGAGGTCACTGGAGACGTGCTACTGAAGCCCTGTGTTCCACTAGGAACCCAAGGGACTAATAATAATATAATAATAGATATCAGTGATACTTGTGATAAGTGTTCTTTTCGGGATATCCATAGAAAATGAGTCGTTAAAATCCCTTCCTGTTTCATTTTATGCAGTTATCTTACTATGATGACGAGTACAACATAGAAATACACTTCCGTGATACTTTAGCGTAAACAGCTTTTCTCATTCTCTAATAGTAATCACTTTCTCATTCCAGTTCCTGACATCTTTGTACGTGATGCGGAAATATATCATCAACTAGAACCTAAACTACCCTTTATAACATTAACTCAGACTGAGTAGTTAACGTTCTTTATTAACCTACTGTACTCCTGTGTCTTTGAACAGACTATTGGTAACTTTTTTCGTATACTACTGTAAGGTGGTCTTTTGAAGGAACTGGCAAAGCCTTGAGTCCGTTCATGGAATCAACGTTTGTACTGTGTGTTTCGAATTATCGTATAGAACTCTTTATAAGTGCTCTGTTAAGTCATGAAACTGAAAAAAAAACCACTTTTTGCATCAAAAATCTCGGAAGGCGTAAAATATTTCATGTCATTTCATGGATGGAGCAACATTCAAAGGGAATTTTTGTCAATTAGCTCGCTTGTAAGACGTCTATCTGAAGTCTAGCTCATAGCTTGTATACTGTAAACTGTGTAGAGACAAGAAGTATTCTGGGTTAATTCGTCCCTACGATTGGTTCTTCATTATTATTGACCTGTTTATGCAACTCAGAGGTTTGAGCCTTGTCAGTGTCCAGCCTTTAAGAAAAATAAGAGTAATCTGATGGGTTGAGAATACTCTTCAAATACCAAGAAGAGTTATGGTTAGTGGACCGAGAATTGAATTACAAAATCAAAATTTTAATATTCAACATTATTTCGATGAGCTTATCTTGTTACCGTGTTGTCTTTAGAAAAACTGACGAAAAATATTGCAAACCATAAAATTTCAACTGGATGTTCATCGCTTATTGATTGCGTATTTGTTATCGTTGTCTGTTCAGTATGAGAGTTTTTCAAATCGATGTAGGATTACACTGAGTTTAAGTAATTTCACTGTTAATACCATGACAGAAAGTGTTCCTCGCTTTAATGGTATTCGTGTTTTAAGTCCAGTATTCTTCCCTATTTCTATGATGGTTCTAGTACCTTGTTCTACTATAGTCTTTTCTGATGAAGAGAAAATACCTATCCAGGTGTATAGTCCCATAATGCTTGGGATTCACTGAAATATTTACAAGTCTTGACAGATTGGTACTGTACTTTACACTTTGGAGTTTTTCAAACGGTATTAGACACAGTAGGTGGAAGTATTTATGTGAATACACTGCATTCAGAGAAGATTATTTGTTTTAAGAACACTTCAATTTGTAGCTTGAACTTCTGAACAAACCAGGTTGGATAGTCTTAACAGGCAGACTAACCATAATGAAAGAAGTTGATAACTTAAAGGATGATAAACTGAGTACACTGAAGGAATTCAGTCAACAGTTTTAGGGTTTCAAAGTAGGGTTCATTGTCAGCTGATAGCAGTTGGAGGACCATTACTGGTATAGGAAAAGTGGACAGCAGTTTCATCCTTGTATTTTGTTCTGGTGGTGTAAGTCTGCGATTAACTCTACCTCGAACTCAGTCAGTAACAACAGGCTACCAATTTTCAGCTTCTTCACTAGGCTTTAAGATAATTAAGAGTTATATCCAACCATCATGCTTTTTTATTCGCATAATGCACAGTAGCTGACCAATAATATTCTAACATTCCAAACTAATTCAGATTTGTTTTACAGATTTCTATAAAATTTCTAGTGATACTTATGTGAAAGTAAATAGCACAGCTTACTTCTAATTGCTGATTACGATTATAGTGTAAATTTAAAGCTCTGTATATTTCTGATTCAGTCGTCACATGTATTTCATCTGCCATACGAACTCCTTCGGATATGGCGACACGAGCATATTTCTCCATTTGTATATAATAGAATTCCCTGTGAAAAGAAGCACAGAGTATACGTACGAATAAGTGCATCATTAGTTACAATTACTATTCTTCAAACTTCTAATACAAAATTCATGATTAAAAATAGAAGGAAGTCTAGGTGCCTGGTAGTTCTAGCCAGGTGTTTTCCTGTTGATCAGCTTTACATTGCGAACTGATACTAGTCGGAGAGACATTAAAAACCTGAGAGGATTGGACAGCTTTTTCCTCCAATTTTGGGACTTCTCAGGACTGCATATCCTCAACTTCAAGGGGGATTGTGAGCAGGAAGTTTAGGTCTCATGGCGAGCACTTATCAAACAGCCACTGTATCATGATCCACATTTTCCAATTTCTGTGAGTTTGCTATTCAGTGTGACCATGCTCTGATGGGTGTTCATTTTTAGTCCCAACTTGAGTGACCCCTCAGGTTACGAGTCCTCATCCATACATTTCATTAATTTCCTTTAAATAACAATCTTTGAAGAATAAAAAATATTTCAAACTAATTTTCATCATAGACTTGTATTAACTGGGAAACCATTAAACGTCTGCGAGCACTGAACAACTAGTATCAATTAAATTGCGGTGTAAATTGCTTTGAATTCAATCAAACTTCGCAAACCGTCAAGGAATTAGTAGCCAGTGTTCATTGGTAACTCACTTCGATATAGATTTCCAAAAGTCTTTATGAAAAGTCATGACCGATGAGATCAGCCATGTTGCGTATAAGAACAACACGTAACTACCATGCTAAATGATAACTAACCAGAAGCTGGAAAATGTTGGTCACTAGATTCAAAGTCAGTAGCTTGATGGTAGCCTGCTGATCGTGGGACCTTCATCCCTCAAGGAGTCATGACTGCACTCTCCTAGAGACTCAGTGACCTAAGTTTTTAACGGTTTCTTTGTCTGACATCAACTCGTAATGAACAGTACTGTAGAATCAGGTAACCCTTACAAATAGCCAATGAAGAAGTATATCATGATTTAAGTAATCGTATTAATTTGTTGAGTAACTCCTAATAGCACAGATGCGTCCATCAAATGAAGGAAGATAAAAGACAAAAAGGGATTGAAAGAAAGAGAGAGGGAGTAAAAAGGAGGAACAGGAAAGAAAAAGCATGGAAACAAGAAAACAGTCTATCACTCACAGCAAGGATAATAATAATAATAATCATTACTAAATAATGGACACAATGAAATCTGCATCAATCTAAAATTATTTATTTTACTGTATTTAGTTAATGTTGATTGGATTAGACGATACCTTTTGTTATTACAATCCCCTTTTTTTCCTTCTTGACTGGTATCCTTTTCTCTCCCAATCAATACTATCTATTGAATCATTACATCAAAGACAATAAATAGTGAAGTAATACTAATGAATTACACTACCTAATCGTGAGATTATTCAAGTAAGATAATACTGATTTTCTAGGAGGTCACTTCATGTTTTAAAGTTTATTTACTTTCTGAGTAATCTATTTTAAATCCAGACTCATGCAATGATATATTGGTACTGGTGATGATTGAAGGTGAGTGGAGAATCTGGGTCATAGCAAGATTCAAACCAGCGAACTTCCACGGAATCTACACAGTGCTCATCAATAAATGACGCCTCACATTTTCTTAGCTAAACAGCTGATACAGACTGGAATCATCTCTACATGAGTGGTTAGTGACGACTGAAACTCAAAGACGGACTCGTCAGGGGAATAAACAAATAATTCACTCTCTTTAAACTGCTGATGTTGAAGAAGAAATTTAGCAGTATTTTAGTGAAAAGCCACTTATTTTGCAGACCGGCAAGTAGTCAGTATGCATTGAGATTTGGAAAGGTATACGAATGGTTTGTAATCCAATAGTTCAGTGGAGAAACGCTCGTTTGGTTGAGTTGTGAACGGGCAGTTAGCATTCTGAAACACTGCCGTAGCTATCTATGAGGAACGTTGGGCACAGGACAACTGCATTAGAAAGTTTCTTAGAGTTGTTAAGCAATGGAAAACCCTGATTTTAGAAAAATGTGAACTGTCATGGTGAGGCCCTTGATATGTTAAGAATTAGGGGTTCAAGATGTACACACACAAACAAATCCATAACAAGGTCCTAGATTGGTAACACTGGTGCAGATGTTTTTATTATTTTATTTTATTTTTTCTCCTATCGAATCTTGAGGTCATTCTATTTTTGTTTGCTTCCTCTGTGTGTATGCCCTGCCTGAGATGTGACCACTTGAAACTGATTCGCTTATATATACGGTTATAAACTGATTTGTCTGCCTATCTCAACGACGAAAGCAGTTCACACTAAGTGGGAAACATCACTCACTGGAGTGCAAGTACATCCAGATGACGAATCACAAATAGGACGAAACGCACATCTAGGATTTCTCTGCTAGTCACTGAGATCAGTATAACAGTTCATGCTTTGATAAGTTCGAATGTATCGAATCAATCTACCTACTAACCAAGTTTCCCAGTTCCCGTCCGTTTACACACACTGCTTAGATCAACAGGTTATAACTATACTGACGCAACTCATTGAATCTAAGACAAGCGTATAATATTATTACAAGACACGTGACCACCTATATACTTATCGCTAATCGTCTTCCATTTCTCTTCTGCTCTTTCAACAACCACTCATTTTCAACAAACACGCAAACAAACAAATAAACAAACGCACTGAATGAACAATTGTTGAATAATTAATTCAATCCCTCATGTTTATCTAAATGGTTCATCGGTTCACTGATTTATACATTTTATTTGTTCATGTACAGATCGAGGTTAATAGATAACCAGATAAGTTTATACCAACCAACTAAGCATCCTTTTTCTACCCAGATAATGAATGAATGTATATTAAAGAAACACCATTTGTTTGGTACTGTTTTCCAATCTGTTAGTCTTACCAACTAACAATGCGTCTTTCAGATTTCTGTTTTGAAAAGTAAATAAATAAATAACAGGTAGATAGATAGATAGATGGTTGTATGGATGGATATTTCTGGTAAACCTTTTCAAACACGATGGTATACCTGTGTATTTATTTACATGTATATATATATATATATTCAATTGGTGAAGGGAAAAGAAGTAAGAACCACTAAAAAGCAGGTAGAGATAGGTAGCTGTTACAAGGTGGAGTCCAAGATTTGATATCTTAATTTCTGTTGCTGGTTTTCTTCTTCTGATTTTCATCTTATTGTCTACATTGTTTCGATAAATTCACTAGGCGGGGTTTTTGAATCAAATCTATTTATCCATCTACGTATGTATGCAATGCATAAGGAAGGAAAGAACATATGCGTGTTTGCCTCGATGTTCGTGTGTATACACCTTTGCGGTTAACCTGATAAATATTTTGGAAATATATATCTGTACTTGCATATAAATTCCTTTTTATCTCTTCTTGTAACTGTATTGTGTTCTCAAGTATTCATTTATTCCCTCAATCAGTCACGGATTGTTTAAACATTTATGTTAATTAAGGGGGAAAGAAAATTAAAATTAGAAGAGTAGTAGTAAAACAAAGGAGATTAAAACCATATGGTTTCTTTATTTCATGTGTTCATTTGCCCTTATATGTTTCTAATCTTTCGGCTATTTCTTATAAGGAGCAGTAGCAGAATGTATTCTCGAATAAAACTTACTTAATGATGAATAATGGCTATCAATTTGGACCAGGACACGCATTTCGTCCTACTTGGGACTCTTCAGCTGAATGTACCTGCCTCCAAGTGAGCGATGTTGTTCCCACTAAGACTCAAACCCGAGACCAGTCGCTTCAAACGCCAAAGGGTTTTCCACTAAACACCGAGTCATGATAGCCGTTTTCTATGTGGTTGGCAATGTTTTTATGTTATTGCTTGTATTATCCCGTCGTTGATTGAATCGAATTGATCTGTCACTATTGGCATATGGAGTCCTACGTGGATGCCTCGATGTCGCTTGTCAGTGGCCATCATTAGTATAAAATTAAAACAGGTAATGTCGAGGCATCCGAGCAGGACCCCATATGCCAAAAGAGACCGATCAATTTGGTCCAGTCAACGACGGAATGATACAAGCAACAATATAACATTTACTTTAACCTGTGTAAAACATACTACTAAACAGGACCAGTTATTCGAGGATACTCGAACTGTTGCACAGATTTTGTCAATCCAAACAAGAGTGATATAGGTGTCATACAATGGTTCCATTCGACGGACAGTCCCTTCATCATTGGTAGGTGAAGGCAATCGCTAATTACACATTGTCTGTCTCAACTCTAAGTAGTAATTCCTAGGTTGAAAAACCGTAAACTTTAATTCTAATCTTAGTAAAAGATAATTGGAACAGTATGAGAGATTTTTGCACTAAATCAGTTAAGGAATACTGCTGGCCTTGGGGAAATCTATTTCCCCTTGCAGACATATACCGATATCCCTCGAAGCACAATAATTCACAAACTGTTAGGTACGGAGAAAAATGACCAGTGAAAAGGGCTTTAACTTCAAAGTTGAGAGGCATAGATTCAAATTTTCGAGGGAAAATGATTTTCCTCAACTTTTAGTTTAGTTAAGTATCTTACAGGAATACATATATTCCAACAAGCATATAATTTAGGTCAACCAAGGTTTGCTGCTTATCGACGACTATTAACACCTAACAGCAGTTTGATACTTTGGCGATGGCATGCATTATTTTAGACAAATTCTAAGGTGTATTAGAATTCAAATCAGAAACACACAAGCTAACAATTCAACACCATCAAATGAGATCGGAGACTCAAAAAAACACCGAAAGAGATTTTCACTTTCTATAGAGCAAATGAATCAAATAAGATTTTAACCTTTAAATGATGTAGACATAAAAATGCTGTGAAAAAATTTATTGGAACAGTACATTTCATTATATTAATCAAGCAGAGGAGAAATCTTTCACGAAAAATAAACACGCATTTCAGAATATTGTCTTAGAAAATTTTCCTTGACGGATCGATAGAGTAGTTTTCAAGAAA